TCCTTAAATAGGTAATATAGAAAAGTTACATATGTAGCCAATTGTACTCTTTCCTGTAGTAGTTTATTGAACCACAATACTGATAACTGATTAATAAAAATCAAAAGACTAAAGAGATCACCTTAATACCAAAAAAAAAAAAAATTTAAAAAAAACAAAGTTTATTTAAAAGATTTAAGAAAAAGATAATTTGAATTTTTAACAATATTATTATAAAAATTAAATCTAAAAAACAGTATTAAAACTTTTTTATTTTTTATTTATTTATATAATATCATAGTAGAAACTTTAAAATACAATAAAAAATTTAATTATAGAAAAAAAATTTCCAAAATAAAGATTTCTAAACTACATTTGTGTTGCTAAAATTAGACACCCAATGTAATATTATATATTCTATTTTCTAATAAGTGTTATAGATAATTGTTTTAAATTATTTTCTAGCTAGAATAGGTTAGAGAAAACCTTAGATAAGAGTTAAAATATTTTATAAAGTATATGGTTAGAGTAAAGTCTTGTAAAAACTATTAGTTAATAGCAGATATAGTATTGAAAGTTTGTGTAGTTCTTGAGAAATTATTAGTAAAGGTAGGTATTATTAGAAAGTGAATTTTTGTATATTTAGTTTTAGTAGTTATATTTCAAGTAAGTTTTTATTGATATTGAGATATGTTGTATGTGAATCATAAGTCTTAATAGTATCAGATGAAAAGATTGTTAAAAAGATTAATCAAAAAGATATTTGTTTATTTGTTTAAAAGAATTTTGATATTATTGTAGGTTGTTATAGAAAAAATATCAAATATAGTATATAAAATTAATTAGTAATTAGGATTAGTAAAGTTGGTTGTGAAGTTTATAATAATATTAAAAATAGAAAATGCTAAACCATTAGATATTTGAAATAAGGTGAATATTAATTAGATTGTATTAAAAATTACTTGGTTTATATTAATATTATTGTTTATACAGAGAAAGAGATGAAGTGTGTCTTTAAGGTTTATATATTAGGAGCATGTTGATGTTGTATAGAGATAAGGATAGTGTATATTAAGATTTTTCATAGTAGATAGGTTGTTTGTAAGAATTTTGATATAAAAAGAATATTTTTGAGTGTTGTGTTCCATGGATGTGATTATTTGAAAGTTAAGAGCCCAGTTAGATTCTGAGATGTTTTGGAAATGCTTAAATATAGACCAGAATAGAAGTTCTTGAATTGTAATGATATTTTTAATAAAATTATAAATTTTGAATAGTATAAGATGATTATTTTATAGAAAGAAAGTTGAGGTAATTGGTAGTGATAATTCAAGAATAGGTTTAAAAGTTCCTTGTTTGGCTAAGGAGTCTGCTTGATAATGAAATAAATTTATATATGATTTAATTTTTAAAAATTATGTATTAATATTTTTAAGAATTTTGAGATAATTGATAAAGGAGATTATATCCTAATTTTTAATATATAATTTTTTAAAAAGAAGATATGTTACAGGTTTTTGATTGCTGCTTAGTTGTTAAGATAAATTGTAAGAATAATATTTGATGATATAACTAAAAAAAGTTATAGAACTGCTTCAAATTTAGTATGATTAGTATCAGTATATAATTTTGTACTTGTATTAAAGTTTATATTAGTATTTGTTTTGCAAATTTAGTTTATGTTTGGTTTAATATTTAGTGTTTGATAGTCTTTAATAGAACTATCAGTATAAAAGATTAGGTTGTCTAAGTTAGAGTTTTTGATTAAAGAGTAGAGTTTGATTAATTAATTTTTATATAAAGTTGATTTAATAATTTGTTGAATGAGTTGTATTTTAGGAGAAATTAGATTTATTGAGAGATGAAAAAAAGATAAGGGTTAAGAGAATGTGTGAATATTAATATGGATAAATAAGAAAATTTTATTAAAGTCAATTTGTACTAAGTTTTTAGTAAATTTAAGTTGATTGTAGAAAATACTAATAGATTAAAAGTTTGAAGTTATTGGAAATAAAGTGAAAGTGATTATATTAAATCCAAATAAATAATTATAAGGTTAATAGAATGGTTTATTAAGAATGAGTTTGTTGTGAAAAAAAAATTTGTTGATTATTATTATAGAAGATTTTGTAAGAAAAGAGGTGGATTAAGGTAAAGAGAAAAATGTTTATTGAATTAATAAAAGTTTTTGAAGGAAAGAGATAAATAAGGCCAGATTGTAATAATATTATAATTTTGATTAAAAAAGGAGATTTGTATGAACCATGTTGATTGATAATCTTATGTAGGTTTGTTTGTTTGCAGATATATATTATTTCATAGAAGAAAGTATAAGTTGTCTGCTGTTGTTGTCTGTTGTTGTAATTTGTTTAAGAAATAGAATTTTGTTGTTTCTTAAACTTTGAATAGTTAGGTTAGATAATTTTAAAAAAAGTACATCATATATTGTTTTATAATTAATAAAAATTTCTAATGATGATAAAAAGTTTGATAATGAGATATTGTGTTTTGCAAATTGGCAAATATGAAAAATTAGTGTAAAGTTTTGTGTTTTGCAATAATAAGTATTAAGTATATTTATTATGAGTTTAGGTTATCAGATTTTGAACAACCAGGTCTTAGTATTAAAACTTGTAAAACTAAATAAAATGTTAATTTTTAAAAAGAAATTATTATAATTAGTTAAACCATCAGAACTCTTTCAAAAAAAAGATTATATATCAACAAACATATAATGCAAAAATATGATTGTATTTATTTTTTCAGACTATCTAAACTAAAAACTTAATAAAACTTGAATTAAATATCAAAATAATAAGAATATATTATAAAATAAGTATCAAAATTAAAGTAACTCTAAAAAACATAGTAGTTCAATAATAAATTCTAAATGCAAGTGTTGATCTCAATCATAACATTATCAAATCAACTACAAAAATAAAATACAGAAGATTCTGTAAGATTTAATACAAAATCAAAGATTTCTTATATAAATAAACTGTTTTAAAAACTTAATAATCATGATATATTTTCACCAGTATCAATTAAAATTATTAATAAATATAAATAAGTGAATGAATACAGAAACTAAAATATTTAAATAAGAAACTTATAAGTAGATTCCAAGTATAACAGTTAATGTAGAAGCTTCAAGTAAATTACTTAAACTAGACAATAATTAAAATTATACAAGTAATTAGTTGTACACTCTTTCTATAATTACCCTCTGTAATTGTAATGCGACTATTAACTGAATGTACTATCAATAAAATCCTGAGTCGCAAATCCTCACCTTAATATATAAAAAAAAATAAAATAAAATTGCTGGAAATGTTGATTATCTAATTAACATTAAATGGTAATCTGCGTCAAATTACAGCTAAAGTAACCAATGCACAAATCACGCATCTCACCTGACGATTGACATCTGAGATGCGTCATCTGCAATCTGACGCGAAAAAGAATTTGAGGCACAACATAAATAAGTTACCCAGGCAATTGATTTACACTAGCCAATCAGACGAACTTCTTCCTATAAGTCAATATCACGTAATATTACGTTATAATATACAATTATTTAAGACTTCATATGATTGGTAATTTATTAATCAGTGCAAGTAAAATAAAATGAATAGAAGGATTTTAAGATGTTAGAAAACAATCTATAAGCAACGGTGACCCTATATTTGTATATAACACTATTTTATACTCTAATTGTTTATGTTTTTTTTATGATGCTTTTATCAATAAATAAAAATTTTAATAACTAATACGTAATAAATGATAAATAAAAAAAATTATGATTCGATTTTAAACGATCAAATTATTGAGTAACTGCATTGTTCAAAGACATCAAACTCCCAACAAAGGTTAAAACCTATAAAAAAAAATTAAAAAGTTAAAAAATTAATGATTTTGGAAAGGTTGTATGAATCACCCTTTACATACCAATCGAGGTCGAACTTCGACAATATCTTCCGGTAATAAGAAAATTGTGGCACCAATTTTTCGAGCAATGGAAATAGCATATCTTGCATTGAGTGTAGCATCATCCACTGGTAAAAAGAAATTTAATGTTAAAAACTTCAACAATAACAATTAATGCGAATACAACGACAACTTACCAGATATACCCTTCGTTACCAAATTATAATCTACTACACCTGACCTGATTCCATTTAATAAATCAATTAAAAATAAACCATTTCTTAGAGTCGTATCTTTAAAACTACTCATCCTTGTAGACTTGCCACCGCGTTTTACGGTTTCGTTCGCCCATCGTACCAAATCAGCATCTGTAATTTCACGACCACCCTTTGATAAACTTGTCAATGTTTGAACAATATTTATACGCATCATCTGCCAGACCAGACCAAGTATCAAAGTCTTTGTACCATCGCAAATATCAGCGCCTTGAATATTAACAAGCGTAAACCGCAAAGACTTTCCTATTAAGATAGCATAATTTGTGTTTTCCACTTGTTTAAATCGTGATAAATTTTCCGATTTGTTTACTTTTTTCCAATCTACAGATCCTGGTCTTATTTTTTCAAAAGCTTGAAGGAGTATTAGACCATCCTAAAAAATGAAATTTTCCTATGAATAAAAGAGAACCTAATTTGTAAATTTACTACACACGAACCTTCAAGTCCTCATACAAATTATTAACAGCGGGTGTAACGTCCAAGCTATTCAACCATAAAGCAAAAACTGTAAATTAAGATTAAAAAATGAGAAATCAGTAAAGCGCAAAGCTTTGTTGAAGAAATTATTTTATATTTTATAATACCTCTTGATTCTCTATCATCAGAATCATCGAATTCTTCCAGTTCAGCCTTTTCCTCTTCATCAAGTGGAGCCAAACACGGATGTGTATTGAATAAATGAGCAACGAAAGCCAAATTCAACTTTGGATTACCACCAACAAGAGCTTTTGGAGTCAAATATTTACGGCACTCTAATTTTTCAGCATTTTGGAGAACCTAATTTTGTAAGCGTTTAAAAGCGGTATTACAAGGTTATTAAGAGAGAATAAATAACTAATATTTTTTTCTATTTTTCTAGGTGTTGAAATTTAATATATATATGTATAGCAATATAATTAGGATAATTATTACCTTCTCAGCACGTTCAAGGAGGTCAGGTTCCTTTAATGGGTCACGTGAACATAGATCGGGAGAAAGTTGATTGAGAAGTATGGTGTAATTTTCGCCATCGCTAATATCTTTACTAAAATTTCCTACTCTACATAATACAACAAAGTTTAATAGATAAAGAAAACAATTAATTAAACGTAACTTATGAAACAAACCAAAAATCTTACCGACGGTTCCATTTAGCAGCTTTTAAATGGTAATTAAACCATCTCAATAAAATTTGATCAGGAGGTAATTTCAAAAACTGATCAAGAGTTTCGTCATCTTCCAGAAGACGATATAATTCGGGGTGACGTTTAATGTCAATCTTGTTCAATAGACCTATTTTGATTATTTGCCAAATTAAACCTAAAATCAGGTGTTCGCGACCTTCAATTAGATCCGCAGATCCAATGTTGACAACATTGCATCCAATTCCTTTAGCAGAAAAAATGACCAGGTTGTTATTTTCGGTCATCTGGAACTTGTTTACTTTCTTGCCCTTTCCGGGAATATTGAGTACACGTTCGTCAATCGTATCAGGAACAGAATCATTGATAAGTTTTGCAAGGATAAGACCATCTTTTTACATGAATAATATAAATTCACTATTAATTATTAATTGGTTAAATATAACTGACAATATTATATATACTAAATTTATATTACCTTTACACTCATCAAAAAGTTGCATAGTATTTGTATCAATTGGGATCTTATCTTTGACATCTGGATCGCCAGACAATGCTTGATTGATATGCCTAGTGAATTCAGTCCTTTCATCTTCATTAATTGTATGGGAAACATTTTGACTGGAGCCATGGACAGTGATTTTATGTTTGTTTACAGCAAAAGCAGATTTATTACGACCTTCTCTGAGTTTCGCTACGAGCTAATGGTGATAAAGGTGGTAAATGTACATATAACCCTTACTAAATAAAAACTTTGTAAGAAATACCTCAACAAATTCGTCTATTTCAACTTTGCCAGTTGAACTCAAGTTTATTTCCTTGAGAGTGGCACGAATCTCATCATAAGAATTACTTTCACCCATATCTTGCAAAGCCTTTACAACTTCCTTTTGTTCAAGCGCCTCATTTCCGTCTAGATCTATTTTGCTAAAAAAGGTTTAACACGAGAATTTAATTAAAATTATTATAGATTTTTAAATAAAAAAAATTGGAGCACGTACTTAAACCGTGCAATGAGATCGAAGACGTCTTGCTGAGAAAGCTGTGGAAATTTTTTTGCCAATTGCATAGCATTCATGGTGGGCACACTTATTTACAAATGAAAACTGATATCGATATGATAACGTTATGTGTAAAAAATCAAGGCTCTTATATAATTACGTACCTCGCCATTTGTGTAACAGGATGTACATAGAGATTAACATTATGCCAAGTTTACGTGAAGCCAAGACAATATTCTGCATACGTACCAAGAATTCATTAACGTCAATTCGCATTACGTAGTCAAGATTTTCTTGGAAAAAAGCCTAACAATAGTACGTATAATGTTTAAACATTATAATGTAGATAAGAATCATTTTCTTAGCCTTCTAATTTTGTAAAAGTGAATGTGTTACACAATATAACGGATATTGCTTAATACAGAGTTATAATGGAACCTGAGGTCTTGATATTACGGAGCTTTTGATATAACGGAGCAAAAGACTTCTCCGTTATATCGAGAGTATAAATGCTGGTGAAACTGATGGTTATCTAAATCTGATATTAAATTTCACCAATTCACCAATTTCACCACCATTCACCAAGAATTTCACCAGTTTTACCAGCATCTATAATCGAGAGGTACTGTGTAGAAAATTAGATTGGTGTAACTCTTAATTTAAAAGTTGCAAATTCGCACACAAAATAACGGTTACATATGAGGTAGGCATGCGCACTAACGATATCTCGCGATCCAGTGATTGGATCACATGATTTTCGTACCATTCGGTGAGACGAGTCGAATAACCGGGCATCAGGGACAGTGAATACTTCCGTTATTAAATTGTGAATTATTTATCACGTTACCATAAATTATTACATTTTATTACAACATGTAATACTATATTTAAGCTCGCCAATTGGTCACTATTTGTAAGCAATTTATTTCAATAATGTAATCAAATTTCTAATTTTAGTTATTAAAATATAACATTGTAAGAAATTTAAGGGATTCAGTACTTAAATTATGTCTATTGTCATCTAATATTTTCACAGGTCGAACAAATAAATAAAAGGTGAATAATAGGTAAATAACAGAAAAAAAAACTGTCATTATTCTACCCTATATCC